GTGATATATGCTCGCAACCTTTGACCTTTGACATACTCAGAATTTGTAAAAATATAAGTTATGAATTAAACTTGTTCCGAGATAACATGACTTCTATTTCAGATGTCCGAAAAATCCTCTTTTTAAAAAATACAATTATGTTTCAGTTATTACGAAAAGAGAATAAATTGTTTTCATGGGCTATATATTTTTTTATTCCTAATATTACATACTAGCTGAAGGGCCGTTGCCCGTAAAAAAAATGGGAAAAATATTTAAATAAATAAAAAATTTGAAAAAAATAATTACAAATATATTTTAGCCTATAACACCCCGCCACCCCAGAGTGTCCACAAAAAAATTTCAGCCCAATCGGTCCAGCCGTTTAGCCGGCTATAGGCAACATATATATATATATATACGAATGTGTTATTATATAGATTATTGAAGTGTTTAATTTTTTTCTCGCTATAACTCGCAAGTTGATGTTCAATATTTAATTTTTCCCCAAATCGAAAATTATTCTATAGGACACCATGTCACAAGAAACTCATTCATTTCTGCATTTTTACAATTTTTACAATCATAAATCTTCACTCTTTGATCATATTTTTCTCTCACTAAGCTTAATCTTTTTTAATTTCATCTTATATTTTTCTGAATATCTATAAATCTATCTATCTATCTAATTATCTATTTATTTCTATTTCTGTGTTTAACTTCACATTATTATTATATTAAGAAACTAGCTAAGGAGCCCGGCGTTGCCCGTGAAAAATTTTGTTTTTAAATTTTAAAAATAAATTTCGATTTTCTTTTTGCCTATAACATCCACCGGCCACCCATGAGTGTCAACAAAAAATTTCAGCCCAATCGGTCCAGCCGCTATACGCTATACGCAACATATATATAACGAATGTCTTGTTTTTTTATATAGATGCACTATACATGATCTTTCTTGCCCTGGAGCAATCTTCAGTAGTAAATCTTCCATCAACTATATTAATAAATATACCTTTATAGTATCTATTTCTGAATATATTTCTGTTTTTGTTTTGTTCATCTTTGTACGTCTACATGTATGTTCTATCTATGTAATGTATATCTATCTATTTCATTATCTTTCTATCTTGAGCTAGCTAGCTGTATTTCTATCTATCTAATTTATCTATCTATTTCTATCTTTCGTATATTTGTTTGATCTAAATGTAGATCTTATGTGTGTTTGTCCATCTATCTTAATCTATCTTATTGTATTATCTATTTGAATCTATAACTACATATTTATCTATCTATTTCCGTCTTTTTGTACATTTGTTTCGATCTAAATATATATCTTATGTGTGTCTCCATCTATCTTATCTACTTATGTATCTATATATCCCTCTAAATATATCTATCTATCTCGCTAAATATATCTATCTATCCCTTCCTTTCTTGTAAGATATGTTGGTGTTGAATTACTAAAAGTGTGGAAAGGAATTTCTTTTTAAAATCACAATACATCAATATAGTCCTTTTCAACTTCTCAAATGGTATCAACAGCCAGGAATATATATTTTTAAAGAAATACTCTCCAGGGGGGGGGGTCAAAGATTCTGAGAGTGGGGGATGAAAAACAGCACCTCAACCGTAAATTCCCCATACCTCCCTTTTTTCCCCAAATTCAGTGAAAAAAATATCTTATGTACTGGGGTTTAGTTGGGGGGGGGGGGTGGTTTTCATAAAAATATTTACCCCTGCTTCTGTAATTGTATGGCACAATCAGGTCCCAACACTTTGAAACCAATCCTAACCCAATTCGTTTTCAACCTTTTTCTATTAAATTTGATTTTAAAATTGTATCTTTGTAATCCGATATAACTTTACTGAATTCACTACATGTTCTCATTGAATAAAGAATTGATTACTCGCCTCAAAATCAACTTTTCTAATGCAACCTAATGGTTAACTTCTTCTTTTAAGGTTGTGGAGATCAAAAAGTTCCTCTGACAACCATTAAAGTTTTTTTAATCGTGTTTGCATTTGAAGATGTTTTTCCTTATTCAAAATGAGCCAATTTCCCTGCAATTATTGGCAGTTTTATAACGATGAAATCATTAAGAAATAAAAACAAAAAGAAACAGAAATTATTAGAATTTTGGTCGTCTTCATTTTAGATTTTCAACAAAACTATTTCTAAAAAAGGGGTCTGATGATTTTTTGGCTTTAACGTTAGTTGTGGTAATTGCAAAAAAAAATCATTTTTTAAATAAAAGAAACAAAAACTTACTCCACTAATATTTCTGGTTTTACTGTTTTCTTAAAGGACAAAAAATAAAAAAAACTAAATCCTCAAGAGCACAAAGGACTTCGGGGGGGGGGGGGTCTTAGAACCCGTTGGGCCTGAAACCCCCCTGGATTCCAAAGATTTTACGGATCTATGGGGGGGGGGGCTGAGTCAACTAAGCCCCCTGTGTACGCCTCTGTGAATCCCATCTTGAATTTTTCTTCGTTTTTAGGGACCAGGCGCTGAGATAGAACTAAGCGAAGGAACAGTAGACTGGAATACACCCATAGTTAGCTATACTGCAGATTCACAGATACCTGGTATTAATTCATTCATTCATTCATTCATTCATACATTCACCTATTTATCCTACCATAATTAGGTTTACTGCTGATTCACAGATACCTGGTACTAATTCATTCATTCTTCCTTTCATTCATTTATTCATTTATTCATCCTTTCATTTATTCAATTATTCAATTATTCAATTATTCATTTATCATTTATTCATTTATTCATTTATTCATTTATTCATTTATTCATTTAACTGGAGGTCATTAGAGGTCATTAGAGGTCATTAGAGGTCATTAAAATTCAATTTGATTTTATTTTATGAATTTCGATCACTAATTAGGCGTGCACCCAAAAAATTGGAAGATTTGAACCAAAAATGAAGGCAGGGCCCCCCCCCCTACATCAAATGTGCCAACTCCACCATCCCCTTTATTCAATTTATTGCCTATTTATTCTTTCATGCCTTTTTTGTTCTAATGTATTAATAAACTTATTCAATTTATTGCCTATTTATTCTTTCATGCCTTTTTTGTTCTAATGTATTAATAAACTTATTCAATTTATTGTCTATTTATTCTTTCATGCCTTTTTTTGTTCTAATGTATTAATAAACTTATTCAATTTATTGCCTATTTATTCTTTCATGCCTTTTTTGTTCTAATGTATTAATAAATTTATTCAATTTATTGCCTATTTATTCTTTATTTTTTATTCATTTCACTTAAGTATTCATCCCATATTTTAATCTTAATTCATTATTCATTTATTTTACTATCCCAGGTGACCCAACCCTGTTCTTTGAGTTGGTGAATGGTAGAACTGAACAGACAAATAAAGATACAACCTTCAGGTCAGCTTTTGGGTTTGGGTTTCTCAAGATGGGGAAACTTTCAGATCATTACTCGTATACCTCGTAATAATATTATCAAGCAAATAATATATTTAAATGGACTGTACACGTTATTCTAAGTGACCCTCCCTGTCAAATTGGAAATGCCTGGTTTACAACAATGCCTGGCTTACAACGGTTTACAACAATGCCTGGTTTACAACGGTTTACAACAATGCCTGGTTTACAACGGTTTACAATAATGCCTGGTTTACAACGGTTTACAACAATGCCTGGTTTACAACGGTTTACAACAATGCCTGGTTTACAACAATGCCTGGTTTACAACAATTCCTGGTTTACAACAATGCCTGGTTTACAACAATTCCTGGTTTACAATAATGCCTGGTTTACAACAATGCCTGGTTTACAACGGTTTACAACAATGCCTGGTTTACAACAATGCCTGGTTTACAACAATGCCTTGTTTACAACAATGCCTGGTTTACAACAATGCCTGGTTTAAAACAATGCCTGGTTTACAACAATGCCTGGTTTACAACGGTTTACAACAAAGCCTGGTTTACAACAATTCCTGGTTTACAACGGTTTACAACAAAGCCTGGTTTACAACAATTCCTGGTTTACAACGGTTTACAACAAAGCCTGGTTTACAACAATTCCTGGTTTACAACGGTTTACAACAAAGCCTGGTTTACAACAATTCTGGTTTACAACGGTTTACAACAATGCCTGGTTTACAACAATTCCTGGTTTACAACGGTTTACAACAATGTCTGGTTTACAACGGTAACCTCAAATAAAACCTTATTAATTATACCCAACATGGGGGGGTGATGTTTCAAGAAAATATGCACCCTGTGGTCCTGACCATTAGATTATGATATACCACTGACCAGTGATGTGACATGGACCGAAATATAATTAAAACATTGACCTTGTTTAAATGTTTAGTTCAATATTTGGCAGGAATTTTAATTATATCAAATTGTCGACATGAAAGGGTCTAAGGCTTTTTTAATCTAAAATTGAGTTAAATTTTATAATTAATAAGTTTAAATATATTCGGTTTGTTTGTATCCAATAACCGTCAAAAGGGATAGACAGACCGGGCCTTAATTTAAAAGACTTTACCCTAGAAAAATTGCAGAAAAATTTGGAAAATATTGTAGTTTCATTACTTTTGTTCTCCTTTTTATTTCAATTAAATTTTCTTTATTTATTACAATTTTATCTTTAAATTCAAAAATACATTTTCAATGTGTTATCACATTCTAGTATTTATTCACTTATCTTATGAAAAATATTGTCTCTAAAAATACTAGCCTGGGAACTCAGCTTTTCCTGGAAACACTAATTTCTGTATAAAATTCAACCCACTAAATTTAGAATTTTTAGACCAACCTTAGAACAATTCTATGGTTCTACCGAGTTACCCAATCACAATTTGAAGCAAATCGGTCAAGGGGTTTCTGAGTTATGATCGGACAGACAAACAGAGATTATATATACATTATTATTTGTTTAGGGCTGTTCAAGATATTTCCAACCAGCAGCGTGTTATCATCTATCTGGCCAAACCACTAGAATTTGAAAAGGAAACAATCCCATTAATTAGAACAATTTTTCAAATAGTTTTAATCCTTTCAAATGGTTCTCTTGAACAACATTTTTGTTTACACTGAAACCGCAAGAATTATACTTAAACAATAATCTAAACTAAAAAAAAGTTGGGAATATGTAGCAAAGCAAAATCTATCATTTTAAAAAGCTAAGTTAAAAAAAGACGGTATCAATCATAAAAAAACGGCACAAATTTTGGTTAAATTATGAATGACACCTATAACTGAAATTTAAATTTTTGATCGGCGGAAACTAAAAAAAATGGCGGTAACTGTATTTTAAAAATGGCGGGAACTGTTTTTAAAAATGGCGGCAACTCTTTTTAAAAATGGCGGAAATTACATTTGTAAAATTGCGGGAACTAATTGGATTGTATTGTGTGCAGGTCCAAGCGTACACACTGACCCTGCAGGTGAGGAACAGTCAGGATCTGGTTGCTGAGGCCCAGCTCAACATCAAGGTGAAGGACGAGAACAACAAGAGCCCAGTTTTCACCAATATCGAGTCAGGTCAGAGAAATTCTTATATTTAACATCTTAACATTTTAAAGACTGCATTTATACAGGGGCATTTCTGATTCACAACGGCACCCTCAAAATGCTTTATCTGATAAAAATGAATGTGATATTCCATGTTTATAATACTTGAAAAATGAGGTTTATTTTTATTATTTTTAACATTAGACGAAATCTTCGACATTAGTAATCAGATAAAGGTTTTAAGAACATTTTTTAATGTGCAATGTGCATGCCCCTCTGAAATGGTTGATTGCTTGAAATTATACAAAGATGAAGGAAATCAAAATAATCTCATTTAGCATATTGAAAAGGGGGAGTGAGGGGGGAGTATTAGTGGCCTTTATGCTTGTTTGTTTGAATAACATAAATCTATAGGATTAAGAATACTAAGTTAAGTCAACATGTGTAGTAACAGAATCAAAACAAACAAAAATGCACAAACGAAACAAAATGCCGTCTTAACAAGGGACTCTGTTTTGTATTTTGACTCAAAAAAGAATTAAAGATGTTGTATAATATTATTAACCTGACATAAACCCATATTCTACTCCGTAAATGTTTTGGTGCAATCACAGTCACTATTTGTGCAAAGTTGCATTAAACATGCAATTATGCACATGTTATCTTGGAAAATCATCCTTAATGATGTATTGTACTTAGAAATCATCCTCAATGATGTATTGTACATAGAAATCATCCTCAATGATGTATTGTACATAAAAATCATCCTCAATGATGTATTGTACATAGAAATCCTCCTCAATGATGTATTGTACATAGAAATCATCCTCAATGATGTATTGTACATAGAAATCATCCTCAATGATGTATTGTTCATAGAAATCATCCTCTATGATGTATTGTACATAGAAATCATCCTCAATGATGTATTGTACATAGAAATCATCCTAAACGATGTGTTGTACATAGAAATTCCATATTGAATTATAGCAGTTTCCCCCTTTTTTGTAGAAATAAAAAAAATGTGGGTAACAAAAAATTGAAAATTTTTTGTATTCGTTGACGATTCATTTATTTATTTTATTTTTAATACGTTTTATTTATTCAAAAGATTGTAGAACCCTGTTTAAAAGTCCGTTGGAGAATGACTGAACTGCTTTAAATCAATATTGCATGTTGACTTTATAACCGTTTTATGCAATATGTAAAAATCATTTTTCATATTTACATTTTCTTAGAGTTATTAATATTTTATGAGCTTTATCAATTTTTTTTAGCTTTTTCTTGATTATCTGTTTACAAGCCATTCGTACAATTTGAAAATATTTCGCGGATCTGTCTGTTGGTAAATTCTGACGGGAAAAAATTCTGAGGTCAAGTGAGATACCACAAAAAAAAACATGGGACTGATCGGTTCAGTTGTTGACGTACAGACAGAAACAGACATGTTTTTTAAAATTTAAATCATATCATAATTATATTTAGAATTTTAAATACATTTTGCTCAAATCTCTGAATCTTGTGCATCTTGTGCGTATTTGTATTTAAACATTTTTCTGCTTTTAATCTTTTATCTTATCAAGAATATTTCAATATTTAGATTTTAGATATTATCTCATGTTTTTAATATATTGAAAGTATATAAAATACATTTTTGCATAAACGTATTATATATTAATATTATCCAGCCTAAAATCCTTTCATTTTCTTTTTCTCAATCATTTTATTCATAATGTTTTTTGTTAATTTTTCTCTTAAATATTCTTCTTCTTTATTTCTATGATTTACCTTTAGTCATCGATTATCTTTCGCCACATTTGTATATAGTTTATATTTTATAATATTTTTTAATTAATTTGTTTTGAATTTGATTATTTCTCTTGTCGCTTACGCAACTATCTATGAATGCCGCGCACCACTCACATTTTTCTAAATCTGTTAAAACTTTTTCTAAAAAAAATAAAATATTATAAGATATAAACTATATACAAATGCGGCGAAAGATAATCGATGACTATACCTCTTTCATTTTTCGCGAACACTCCCTTTAAATTTTACGTCTATAACCTATTTTGTAACTAACAGCAACTTTTTTCATTGTTTGCCTAGAAGGTGGGAGGGCAATATATCTTAATCTTACTTCCGAGCCTCTTTATTCTTGGTTCACTTGGAGTGTAGGAGGGATTTCTCGGAAATAGAATTTAGATGTGTTTTGTAGCCCCCTGCCCCCCCCCCCTCTCTTAAATGGTTGTTCATGATTAAAAGTATTAAAAGTATTAATTTAACAGATTAAAACTAAATTAATTAAAGAATTAATTACATTATTAATATCAACACTCAACATTAATTAAATCTACAGGGTTTATCCTAAAAGATTTTGATTCTGAAAAAGTATTCATTACGTTCGTAAATATTGATATTTTGTTCTATTCAAATCCATTTGCATTTGCATTTTTTTTTTCAATTCAGATTTTTTTTGATTTTTTTAAAAACGATGGTTATGACTAATAATCTAATCTAGTGTAAACAGAAAAAATAAAGATAATGTCAAACATTTCCGGGAGGGGGGGAGGAGTATTTTTATCTTCCGCTTTACTTAAAGGGACTGTTAGAATAATTTCAAGTGACCCGCCATGCAAAGATGGCAATGCATGATTTACAACGGTGCCTTTGAAAGATTTGTCTGATCAAGTATGATCTCTATGTTAAGGTGCTTTACTTGAACATGAACCTTCTGTAACTGTTGTTATGTCTGTATATCTGTATGTTAAGGTGCTTTACTTGAACATGAACCTTGTTATGTCTGTATATCTGTATGTTAAGGTGCTTTACTTGAACATGAACCTTTTGGAATTGTTGTTATGTCTGTATATCTGTATGTTAAGGTGCTTTACTTGAACATGAACCTTTTGGAACTGTTGTTATGTCTGTATATCTGTATGTTAAGGTGCTTTACTTGAACATGAACCTTCTGGAACTGTTGTTATGTCTGTATGTCTGTATGTTTAGGTGCTCTACTTGAAAATGAACCTGCTGGAACTGTTGTTTTGTCTTTATATCTGTATGTCTGTATATGTAGGTGCTGTACTTGAACATGAACCTGCTGGAAGTGTTGTTATGTCTGTTTGTCTGTATGTTTAGGTGTTGTACTTGAACATGAACCTGGTGGAACTGTTGTTATGTCTGTATATCTGTATGTCTGTATGTTTAGGTGCTGTACTTGAACATGAACCTGGTGGAACTGTTGTTATGTCTGTATATCTGTATGTCTGTATGTTTAGGTGCTGTACTTGAACATGAACCTGCTGGAACTGTTGTTATGTCTGTATCAGCTATAGATGGAGATGGAACCTATCCTAATAACAGGAACATAGTTCAATTCATTTATTCACTAACTAATTCATTATTCATTCATACTTTCATACTTCCATTCTTTTATTTTTTTTCATTTCAGTTATTCATTTTTTCTTCAAAAAAACTTTAAAAATTTCTTCAGTTTTTAAACTATTTATTCATCCTTTCATGAGATTGAACTTGTGTATTGTGCAGGGTCAAATACTCCATATCTGACTCGAATCCTGAACTTCTATCAAAGTTCGACATAAACCCCGACACCGGTGTTATTACGACTAAAGTCGAGTTCGACAGGTTAGTACACTTGTCGACTTATTTTTATTCCATTAAATGGATAGACGGGCTATGTAAGGTAGTTAAACTGAGTATGCAGTGTTCTTCTTTAGGATTCATTTGAGACATATAATACTGATCTGTAAATCCTGAGTTTGAGGGCAAAGCCGACGTTCTAAAGCGTACTTTTGGACGGATACGTTTTCAGAATTGTTTTTTATTATTATTAAATAATGACGCTAGAAAATGTCATCAAAAGTTTAGAGTAAACTAATTAGTTGTTAAGGAACAGGTTTTGAAAAAAAAAATTAACTCTTATCAAAAATAACTAATCTTATTCAATTATTAGTTTCTAAAATCTATCTTTAATCACAAAGATTTTCTGGAATTTTTATTATAAAGACGACATTTGAAGAATTTGAAGAAATCTGTGAACTAATTCATAGAAAATAAGAGATTCAATATAATAATGAAAAGGAAACAATTAATTCTAACTTCGATCAATTAGTTTACTATCGAATTTTCACTATATTTTTCGTCGTTGTTATTTAGTAATTTAAAAATTTACCGATTTTGAAAACGTACCCACTCAAATTCATGATTTTGAACGTCGACTTCGCGCTCAAACTCGGTAATTATACATCGTGGAAACGTTTTATATGTCTCAAATGAATCCTAAAGAATTTGTCCACATTACTGCACACTCAGTTTAACTATCTTACATAGCCGGTCACTCCCTTTAGGTCTTCTACTTTGAATATAGTCTTTTTTAAGTAATCGGGATTAAGGATATCTCATTGTAAAGTTTTCAGCTCAGAGCTGAAAAGTTTAGAATGGTGGATATCAAGATCAATGCTTGATCTCCTCTTTCTCAAAATCTCCAGATTAAATAATGCTTGTTCTCCTCTTGTTATTTATCTCAAGATTAAATAACGTATCGTATTATTAAGGCTATCCCATTCTAAAGTTTTCAGCTCAGATTGATTTTGTTTCTTTTTTTCATATATTCATAAATTAATATCTAATATCTATATATCAGTGTTTCTACAATATTCTTACAACTATACTCCTGGTCAATTGTTCTTATTAATTAATTAATTCTGTTGTGTGTTCGCTCTTCAAAGGGATGCAAGAGTATATAGAATTGTGAAAGGAGGAGGGGGGATATTATTCCTAGGGAAGAGACTGCGTACTACGCCCTGACTATAATTGCCTCCGACGGAGCTACGAGTAGCCTCCTAAAGAATAATAAACCGAACCAGACTCCCCAGAAGTTTAGGATTGTTATAAAAGACAAGAATGACAATCCACCATACTTCCCTCAGCAGGTCAGTATTCATTAAAGAGTGCAATGTCCGATTTTTCTAATTAATACTTGATTAGAGTATCAAGGTTGCCGTTGTAAACCAAGTTTGTTTTTACCTCAAATTTTATAAATCCCTGTAGATCTTTCCAACCCGATGTCGTATACCTTTGATATGGAATCGGCTAGATCAAACCGTCAAAGTTTGAAATAGCAAAGGCTTTCAAAATAAGGTTTCAAAGTTAAAGGGATATGAAAATTTGGCTAAAACTCAGTTCCTTTGGAGAATGATGAGTTCGATTACTTATCGTACTTTCTTGAAGTTGATATTTAAAATTATTGATTGATTAAATAATTTTTAATACTTGATTGATCAAATACTTGATTAATCAAATACTTGACTGATTAAATACTTGATTGATTAAATACTTGATTGATTAAATACTTTATTGATTAAATACTTGATTATTAAAATACTTGATTGATTGATTGATTGATTGATTGATTGATTGATTGATTGATTGATTGCAATATGTCCTCTGTGTAGACGTATAGAGCCGAGGTCCCCGAGGATGCTGATATTGGGAGTAAAGTTATCGAAGTTAAAGCCCAGGATCTGGATAAAGAAGCCTCACTGACCACATACAGTATTGAGAGCGGTAACCTCAACAACGCCTTCAAGTAGGGTTTTCTCTCAATTTAAGATTCAACAATTTTAACTTTAAGAATCACCGACTCCAGAGTTATATATTTTCTTAAAAAATTACACTCGGATTTTAACTGGGTTCATTCATTGGAACTTAAACGGAAGAGAGCTCAAGTTTGAAATCATAGATTCAAGGATTGACAGTGAATATTATTATTATTATTATTATTATTGTGATTATAGCTCAAATTCTAAGGATTTAAAAGCTCAGTGTTATTTTTTAAAAAAACTTTTTTTGTGAGAAACTATTTGATTTTGAAAACTACAGAAAAAATTAAAGATGATTCAAATCTTTAACATCTCCCTCCGTTCTGGAAATTTCTATACATTAACTTTATAAAGAGTGTAGAGTATAGATCTTAGGCCTAGGGGCTCCTATTATATACATACAGTTGCTTTTAGGAAACCTATAGAATTAGCGCTGCAAATGGATGATCATTATTTAACGTAACCTATCAGTAAATAGGGCGATGTTTTTATAAATTTATTGTTTGATACCTCTTTGTCCTTTGTGTGCTAATATCGCAGAATAACAATCTTGAGAAAGAGGGGTTAGGTGTGAAGTTAAGCTAATTTTTAGATAAAAACTAATATTATGTTTTATTGTAAGCTAGAAAGATAGGATCTGAGGTTACTGTTTTGGGGGCTGGGGGGTTGGGGGTCAGGCGGCATTTTGACTGCATGATCTAGTTTTTTATGTTTAATGCTAACGCTAATGCTAACAGGATCTTTTAATGTATATGTTTAATGCTAACGTACTGCAGGATCGAGGAGCAAACCGGTTTTATCAGAGTAAACACTGAATTGGATTACGAAACAATCCGAGAGTACACTTTGAGGGTTCAGGTGAAATTGTTTTTAAATTTCATAATTTATTTTTTGTATTCGCCATTATAAAATTACATTTTAATATATTAAGAACTAGAAATGTATGATACAAATGTTATCTTTTTCCCCTGTCACTCAAAAAATGACGCATTTTCTAATATATCAAGACACAAAATAAGTTATTTTTTCAAAAAAAATCAGTTGCAAATTATAGATTATAATATTTATATAAAAAGGGAGTGACCGGCAATGTTTGGTAGTTGAACTGAGAATGTAGTATAGTGTAGAATTTTTTTAGGATTCATTTTAGACATATGAATCGTTCAAATGATGTATTATTACTGAGTTTGAGCGCGCAAAGTTATTTAGGAACAGGTTGAGAAATAAAAAATAACTCTTATCATCGAAAATACGGAATATTATTCAGTTATTGGTTTCTGTAATGTCTCATTGTTAACAAACAGTTTCTGTAAATTTTCTGGAATTTTTGGTTAAAAAGACGACATTTGAAGAACTTGTAGAAATCTGCTAACAAATTCGTAAAGAATAAGAAATTCAATATAATGACGAAAAAGTAATAATTTCTATTGAGAAATATGTTCCTTAACATTTAATAAGTTTACTGTAGAATTTTTGATACATTTTTCGTCGTCGTTATTCGATTCTCAAAACGATGGATGATTTTGAACATCGACTTTATACGCTCAAACTCAGTAATAATACATCATTAAAACGTTTTAAATGTCATATAAATTTTTCCACAATACTACATTCTCAGTTCAACTACCATACATTGCCGGTCACTCCCTATAAAAGTAAAAAAACGACTAGAATTCAAATGTTCTTTGACTCTCTCCTAAGAGCAAGATTTGTATTGCTGAATTGAAGAAAATGGCTGATTTTTTTTGTTGATAAAAAATTTCGTATTCCCATTTTAAAAATAAATTTATAAATATTATACCACTGTCTAATTGTTTTATTTTTTTTTCCTACACTGTAGAATTGTTATTTGTCATTATTATTATATAAAAATTAATTAATCTCTTTCATTTTTATCCCCCCTTCCGCTCCCTTAAAAAATAATATTGCCTTCTAATTTTGTGAAGTTTTGTCTGAAAAACTAAAATTAAAGTTTATATTATTCTAGGCATGGGATGGTCAATACAGTAATGACACTACAGTGCACATTGACATCTTGAACGTGAACGACATGAAACCAAGGTTTAAAGAGGAGAAGTATGTCACAACTCTCAAGGAGAACTTTGTTCCGTCCTATCCAATATTCTCGTAAGTAGTTCTTATATCATTTTAACCATATTAATTTTCAGCTAAAAAAAGGTTTTATCCAATGAAATGGGGAAAATAATTAAATTTTTGGGGACTAATTTGTTGGCCCCACGCAAACTTGGCTCTCGAAATAGAATAAACAAGTCAGCTGGGGACGGTAGTCAAGGGTATATATTATCCCTCACTATTGGTCCCGATCCCTGCAGCTGATACACAAACAGAACAAACCCGTCTCAAAAATCGACAAAAATGAAATCTCGTTATTTCCTGAAAAATAATACATTTTGTTATTGTGGGTACAAATGGTAAAAATAAATTTGTATAAGGGGGAAAAAATGCTTTCGATCTATTTGACAAACAATGGTATAAACAGTACTAAAAAGACGTTTTATACTTCTGAAATGAAATGATAATTGATTATCAACGAAAATCACTATTTTTATATGAAAATTATTCTTTTATTTAACTTTTTGAAATAGAATCACTGCCCGTGAGTTTTGTTTATAACTTTGTCGGAGAGAGGAGGGAGGGGGGTTTGAAATTGTTTGGTTTGGTCGTCTCCGAGAGGGAACTTCAGTCAAAGACGACTTTACAACGGAGAACTCTTGTTAACGGTTAACATAATTATCTAAAAGGAAGAAAAAACTTACCTTTTGAATTTCATTTTTTCATATTTTTATGATTTTCTTGATTTATGGTTATAGCTATACCGACCATGATCATCATTTAGTATTTATCGTTTGTTCACCCTTCTTAGTGTCTTTGAACACTTAATAATTGGCGATCTCTTCTCACAAGACACCCCGGCCCCCTTCCCGATAAAATGAGATATTTGGATGACAATGATTACCTTTTTATACTTCACCATTTTTATCTGAAAAGTGGATTTATTTATTATTGAAAACTTTTGTAAAAAAAAATAACCAAATGTGCATTCTAAATATAACTCTACGGATTTACACCACATAAATGAAACCTTAAAAAATTCGAGAAATATTTGATTTTTATTTTTTACTATCAGAGTTACCTGGCGTTACCCGTGCAAAATTCATTTTCAGTTTTCGCGGTTGCCAGTGCCCCTCAGCCTTATTATTTTTCATTATGTACCTGAATAGTTAATCCAAGGGGTTTACCACCTATCATACAGTGATCGGTGATTATATCAATACAATGAAGACGCGTTTTTATTAATAATACATCGATCTCAAACCAGTGTTTTTAATTTCGATTTCAAATTTAATCAGAAAAGCTGATTATTTAACAACTTCTGTTTTTTTCATGTGAAAAAAACAGAACGATGTCTTCCTTGTATTGATATATACGACGACAACTGTATGTTACCCAGATCTGCTGAAGGGAATATTTAAAAAAAAAATTAAGTTACATTTCATTGAGTGTTGCGGTTTTTCGAGATATTTTTTATCATTTCTTTACCTTCAAAGAAGCTTACAGTATTACCAACATGTACACACAAATAAACTTTGCCGCTCTTCATGATATTTCATATTTGTTATATTTTTTGAAAATAAATTAATTTAGGGTTCAAGCTGAAGACCCTGATATTGGGGATCCATCAGTTCCTCAGAATATAACTTACTTCCTGGATCAAACAGCTCAGATAGCTCCTCATTTCCAGATATCTAGCGATGGAGCTCTTAGGTATTGAATGGTTGGAGATTTTGTTGGTTGCTTGGTTGGTCGGGTGGTTGATGGATTGGTTGGTCGGGTGGTTGATGGGTTGGTTGGTCGGGTGGATGATGGGTTGGTTGGTCGGGTGTTTGATGGGTTGGTTGGTCGGGTGGTTGATGGGTTGGTTGGTCGGGTGGTTGATGGGTTGGTTGGTCGGGTGGTTGATGGGTTGGTTGGTCGGATGGTTGATGGGTTGGTTAGCTGGTGGGTTGATGAGTTGGTTGGCTGGTGGGTTGATGGGTTGGTTTGCTGGTGGGTTGATGGGTTGGTTGGCTGGTGGGTTGATGGGTTGGTTGGCTGGTGGGTTGATGGGTTGGTTGGCTGAATGGTTGATGGTTTGGTTGGCTGGTGGGTTGATGGGTTGGTTTGCTGGTGGGTTGATGGGTTGGTTGGTTGGTCTGGTGGTTGATGGGTTGGTTGGCTGGTGGGTTGATGGGTTGGTTTCCTGGTGGGTTAATGGGTTGGTTGGTTGGTCGGGTGGTTGATGGGTTGGTTTGCTGGTGGGTTGATGAGTTGGTTGGCTGGTGGGTTGATGGGTTGGTTCGTTGGTCGGTTGGTTGGTTGGTTGTTTCGTAGTTTAGTTTTTGAGGGTTAGTTGGTGGATGGGTTTTGGGATGGTAGTTTGGTTTTTTGGTTGGGTGGTTTGTGGGTTTGTTGGTTGGTGGGTCTGTCGTTTGGTTGGTTAGTAAGTTGGTTGGTTGGCTGGTTGGTTGGTTGTTGTTTGGTTTGGTTGGTGGTTGGTTGACTGGTTAGTTGGTTTGTTGGTTGGTTGGTTAGTTGGTGTGTTAGTTGGTTGGTTGGTTAATGTGTTTAAATAAGATATAATCTGATATAATAATCTGATTGAAAAAATTATGTTAATTAAATCATATAATTAGTAAAAAGGTATATCTGATCATTAATCAGGATTGAATAACGTGTATTTCCCCTTTTTGCTATAAATATACCATTACAGAATAATCTTATCATAATTATATCATTCAACCTTAGGAAAAAATATTTAAATTTCATAATCTGTGTAATCGGAAGTGACCAATAACTTCTTTTTTTTCGGAAATTCTAGAAAACTACAATTATATTTTTACGTCACAATCGCCTAAGAATTTAAAAATCTTTGAATAAAATATTCAATGATTTTTAAATGAAGTAATTAAAGTAATTAAATTATTGATTAGAATTGTTAAACCACTGGACCGTGATCTACCGGACGGGTTTCCGGTCTGGACAATGTTTGTATTTGCTAAGGTAAATATTCATTTATTCATTTGATAATTCACCTATTCATTCATTCATTCATTCATTCATTTCTTTTATCAATTGTTTATTCATCTATTTATTCGTTCCTTTATTCAACCATTTTCTCTATTCATTTGTTATTCTTTTGTCCTTCTATTCATTCATAAATTCAAGTATTCATATTATCAATCATTCATTTATTTATTCATTCATTAATACATTATGCATTCATTCGTTGTATCATTCAATCATTTATTAGTTTCTTCATTTCATGAGTATTTACTTATTCATATATTAATTAGGCTTTTACGGCGCTTCGCGCCCATCTTCTATTTTAATTGTGAACATGTTCTCATTGTAACATTGAAAAACAAAGAAAAAAAATTTCGCGGATTTTATTTAAAAAATTTTAAGATTTTAAACAAATTAAATAAAATACTTTTAAACACAATTTTTTTAAATTTTGATCATTTATAAACCTTCCCTGGGGTCACGTGATTTCCCACACAAAATTTGGGCCTGATCGGTTCAGCCGTTTTGACGTTTATTGGACTTACACAAACAGACAAACAAACATCTATATCCCTGTATCTAGGATGAGAATGGTGGACCAAACGGTCGAGAAAGCTTTGTTGAGTTTGAGATAACTCTGGATGATGTGAACGACAATGCTCCATTTCTAAATATGCCTGATGGACTTGTTTGGCCGGAGAAATTGTTATTTTTTTATTACATATTGATTATAATGTATATTCTGTGTATAGGTGAGGTTGGTAGACTTGAAGCCCTGGACTATGATACCCCAGCCAACGGACCCCCCTTCACCTTCAAGATAGACCCTAAGGCCCCTGCCTCCTTCAAGGCCAAGTTTGGGATTAAAAAGAAGAGTAATGGGGATTACTACCTAGAGACAAAGGAGATATTTGATAGAGAAGAACTAAAGGTAAGCTTTAACTATCCTGGTTGTAATATTTTTTTAGGAGAAATACTTTCCTAGCTTGGGTCCCGGGAGGTGTGGGGGCTTCTGTTAGAAAGCGTCTTTTGGTTTTAATCCACGACTGGAGTCTTAGGCCATCCCTACAACTTGTTATTTTATTTTATTTTAATTCCTTTGTTAATATTGATTGACAGAAATATAAACTTTTAAGACTAAACTAATCTGAAAGTAGGAGGATAATAGCTACTTTTATTCTAATCTTCTTCTTATTAATTTTGAAAAAAACATTGCAGGCTTTTTTGCAGAATTTTTTTGACGAGACAAACCCCATTTTCAAGCTATGTAAGGACATGTAGCAATCAGAAAGAGATAAAATTTTAACTTATAATTGTACCGTCTCCCCTTTTTTTCGTCTATTGGACAAATCATTTCAGAATTTGTAATTTTTATATTTTTTTCCGAGTTTTGAAACTCGAAATTCTTTCATTTCGAAATTTTGACGTCTTTTGGGTAGTAAGTTTTGATAGACTATCATGGTCAAACCAATTAACTTTTTAGGTTTATGAGATCCCTATTGAGGTGGCTGACAACCAGGGTTTGAAGGCCGTGTCCTTCCTCCGTTTGATCATCGGGGACAAGAACGACAACCCTATGGAGTCCGGGAGCAGTGAGATCTACGTGTACAACTACATGGGTCGGGCACCCACCACGGAGATCGGTAGAGTCTACGTCGACGATCCTGACGATTGGGATCTTCCAGACAAATCTTTCTTCTTCAAGGAATCAGTTTTATTTATTTTAATTAAATTTTATAATTGAATTCATAATTTCAAATTATATATTTTACAATTCTTTGAATCATTTAAAAAGGATCGTTTGAATTAATGTTATCAGATCAATATCCGCAAATTAAATGGCAAAAACTTTTAATTTTGATTTGACTTCATCCCATTCAAGTCATTTAAATGTAGTGATGGGCAAAAACTCAGTTCGTTTTTACAATGGTAAGGTTTGTTGACTAATAAATGGTCCGCAAAAATATCAAGTTTTAAGTTCAAAATTGTAAATTCTAAACATGTGCGATCCTAACACTTCGACACTTTGTGATACTAAATATTGTTTGGTCCTACAAAATGAGAGGCTAATGTTTTTCATGCTGCCCCCCAATTTTGGTCTTATACATTATACAGTAAACATCGATGACATTTTTGCATGGGTAACTAAAAACAAATATAGTTTTGAAATGTTAGAACCCTCAATCTACTATATTTGTGTTGTGTCGATTCTAAAAACCTAGACTGCCCAATGTTACCAGTTACTAGATGGGTTTCATAGAATCAAATTTATTCTTTTTTCTCATAAAACTAAAACTGGATTATGCCCAGGATCCATCTTTGTTTCCTGATTTCGAGCTGAACAGGGACAACGGGATTATATCTATGAAGGAGGGGATTAAACTAGATGAGGAGATTAAGGTAAGCTCTTATATCTATTAAGGAGGGGATTAAACTAGATGAGGAGATTAAGTTAAGCTCTTATATCCATGAAGGAGGGGATTAAACTAGATGAGGAGATTAAGGTAAGCTCCTATATCTATTAAGGAGGGAATTAAACTAGATGAGGAGATTAAGGTAGGCTCTTATATCTATGAAGGAGAGGATTACACTAGATGAGGAGATTAAGGTAAGGTCTTATATCCATGAAGGAGGGGATTAAACTAGATGAGGAGATTAAGGTAAGCTCCTATATCTATGAAGGAGGGGATTAAACTAGATGAGGAGATTAAGGTAAGCTCTTATATCTATGAAGGAGGGGATTAAACTAGATGAGGAGATTAAGGTAAGCTCCTATATCTATTAAGGAGGGGATTAAACTAGATGAGGAGATTAAGGTAATTTATCATATATTTAGTGAAATGGGTCTGTTTACATTACACTGCACAATTACTGTGTCTCATATTCCTTTTACTATTTTAAGTCATATCTTGTGTCTAAAAGTCGTCTTCCTATTCCATCCAGTGTTATGGATCTCACTGTACATAATTTACAGGTTAAAGTGAACATTTTTTTTTTATCAAATTGAACATTGTAATTGGCTCAATTAGAACATCTGGTTAAATTAAATATCATGTTACAAGTAGTCTATAGGACAAAATTACCGTAATTGATTGGCAATGCATTGTCCTCATTTTGTGCGAGGTTCATAAAAAATCTACTTGGGGGAAACATTTTCCACATATTTCTTAAAGGAAAATTTTAATCGTAAATTTCTTTACTTTCGTGTAATATTAACATCCATCTCTTGATCTGGATTCATCTAATATCTAACCTGAGATCGGAATATTGTCAATCTTTAACGTTTGATCTCGATATCCAATGTTGTATATTTGAGAATAAATTGAAGTTTTCCCTGCGGGGTATGACTATCACGGGATATCGAAGAGGAATTAAATTTGTATGCAGATATATATTAATATTCTGACCTCTGGTTCTCTTACTAACTAGATCCATTTCCATTTATTAAGGTCAAACAATATATCTATCTGTTTATTTGATATCTTTCGTCTACACAATTTTAAAGTGCATCTGTCTCTATATCTATTTATTTATTTATTTATTTATCTTTAGTTAGTATATCAACCCATCGTTGCTTAGAATACTCGTAGTCACTCCTGTGGTTTATCCGCACTTGGTAAATTTTTACGTACCGGCAAACTAAATTTTCGCAATAAAAGTGGACCCACTTAATTTATAATCTCTAAGCCAAGCTAAGAACAATGAACATTCCCGTGGCCCCCCCCCCCGAGTTCTCCTATCAAAATCTGTGGCAAATCTGTTCAAGGGTTCTTGAGTTATGATCGGACAAAACAAACAGAGATTACAACTTTATATATTTATATATTATTTTTTTTAGGTGTATCACATGGAGTTTCGTGTAGAAGACCCGGTTCACCAGCAGACCGGACCCAACGCCGTCTATGCGAACGTCACGGTCACCGTTCAGCGGATACCCAAGGAGGCCGTCACCAAGTCCGGCTCTATCCGTCTTGACATATCGCCGGAAAAGTTCATTTCCGCCGAAGACGGTCGTGAAAAACTGACCAAGCTTCTCCGTGGATATTTGAATCCGAACGCATCCATTGTGGATGTATTCACTGTGCTACCGGCCGGTCCTAACGGGGAATTCACCGATGTCAGGTTCTCTGCACACGGTTCTCCCTACTTTGCCCCGGAGAAGATGGAAGTAACGGTTGCGCGGCGGAAAATGGATCTGGAGCGCACACTGGGATTCAAGATCCTGATGGTGCACATAGACGAGTGCTTATACGAAGGAACAAAATGCGAGGGAAGTTGTTATAACTCTCTTGAGATAGAAAACAACCCCACCGCCATAATGACGAATACAACAACATTTGTCGGCGTAACGGCCCGTGTCGAACCCAGATGCGGATGCCCGGTGGACAAGGCTTTCCAAACCTGCTCCGCCGGTTTCGAGGCACCGGATGCGGGAACTGAATGTTTGAACGGCGGAACATGTGACGGCCGACAGTGTAAATGTCCGGCGGAAAACTCGCCGGAGTTTGGTCCACAGTGTGAAAAACTGTCGGCCAGTTTCCGGTACGGTTGGACGACCCAGCGCGGCGTGTCAGCCTGCGCCAACACCAGTTTATCCTTCATGTTCACAACGAAGCAACAGGAGGGACTTCTACTATACCAGGAAACCAAACTAAACCAAACTCTTCAACATTTACTAGTAGATATTGTAGATTTTGTAGATTTTGTAGATTTTGTAGATTTTGTAGATTGAGTAGATTTAGCAGATTTCGCTGTTTTAGTAGATTTAGTAGATTTTGCAAATTTTACAAACTTAGCAGATTTATCGGATTTTGTATGACCACGATTATTACAAAAAGGGATGGTTCACTTTTCCTGTATTTCCAAGTAATGTTGACCAGGGAGGTGTCAATTATTGTTGATAAGATTTCCATTATATCTCGGATTTCAAAGAATTTTCTTAATCGAGAAATGCGCTGAACAATATGAGATCTAGACTCATCCAATTTTCACACGTTAGGGAAGGGGGACTGATGATGAGGGGGCAAAATTCTGTTAAATAATTTTTACCCAAATATATTATTTTTGAGATTTTTCTTGTCTTAATTGACTATTTAATTGAAAAGGGGATGGTGGAGTTGGCACATTTGATGTAGGGGGGGGGGCCCTGCCTTCATTTTTGGTTCAAATCTTCCAATTTTTTGGGTGCACGCCTAATTAGTGATCGAAATTCATAAAATAAAATCAAATTGAATTTTAATGACCTCTAATGACCTCTAATGACCTCTAATGACCTCCACAAATAGAAAATATTTCAACTATGGCTTTATGCACATCAAACGAAAGCTAGGGACCCAGGGAATACAGTAGCAGCAAAAAATCCAGTGTTTGACCTTCTAATGNTTGAAATATTTTCTATTTCTGGAGGTCATTAGAGGTCATTAGAGGTCATTAGAGGTCATTAAAATTCAATTTGATTTTATTTTATGAATTTCGATCACTAATTAGGCGTGCACCCAAAAAATTGGAAGATTTGAACCAAAAATGAAGGCAGGCCCCCCCCCCCCTACATCAAATGTGCCAACTCCACCATCCCCTTTAATTAAATAATTATTCTTAGAATCTCACGAAAACGATAGGAAACTAGATCTTTTAATAGAAAAAAACAGGTTTCCTAAATCTTCTTCACAATTCGTACCTTTCACACTACACAAACATTTTAACAACCCCATTTATAGAGTTTTCAGGGACCATCTTAGATTGTATTTGATTTTTATTTGGTTGGTCTAGGGCCCATCTCCAAACACAGTGGTTGAAGGAGTAACAGATTTCTTCGCAGTAGAACTACAGGAGGGAAAACTTAAATACTTTCTAAACTTCGGAGCCAGTACACAGATAGGAGTTGTACCCAAGGTATAGTACACAGATAGGAGTTGTACCCAAGGTATAGTACACAGATAGGAGTTGTACCCAAGGTATAGTACATAGATAGGAGTTGTACCCAAGGTAAAGTACACAGATAGGAGTTGTACCCAAGGTATAGTACACAGATAGGAGTTGTACCCAAGGTATAGTACATAGATAGGAGTTGTACCCAAGGTAAAGTACACAGATAGGAGTTGTACCCAAGGTATAGTACACAGATAGGATTTGTACCCAAGGTATAGTACACAGATAGGATTTGTACCCAAGGTATAGTACACAGATAGGAGTTAAACTCAAGGTGTAGTACACAGATAGGAGTTATACACACGGTGTAGTACATAGATATAAGTTGTACTTAAGGTATAGTACACAGATAAGAGATATACTCAAGGTGTAGTACACAGATAGGAGTTATACTCAAGGTGTAGTACATAGATAGGAGTTATACCCAATGTATAGTACACATTTAGGAGTTATACCCAAGGTGTTGTATACAGATAGGAGATATTATACTCAAGGTGTAGTACACAGATAGGAGTTATACCCAAGGTGAAGTGCAAGAATTGAATTTAATCTTTAAAATTAAAATTCCAACAGAACATGTGATTTAAAATTCATGTACATAAAGTTTTGTACATGTTTATCTGTGCAGTATAATGATAAATGAGTATGTACACTGTACAGGTTGTATCGGACGGTGAGGAGCATCATGTGCAAATATCCTGGACAAATAGTTCTGTTAGTGTTATTCTGGATAATGGGGAGTGTATTCCTAATATTAGGGAGTGTCAGTTACAGGTATATTCATTTATTTATTCATTTAGTCATTTATTCATTTAGTCATTTAGTCATTTAGTCATTTAGTCATTTAGTCAGTTAGTCATTTAGTCATTTAGTCATTTAGTCATTTAGTCATTTAGTCGTTTAGTCATTTAGTCGTTTAGTCATTTTGTCATTTTGTCATTTAGTCATTTAGTCATTTAGTCATTTAGTCATATAGTCATATAGTCATTTAGTCATTTTGTCATTTAGTCATTTAGTCATTTAGTCATATAGTCATATAGTCATATAGTCATATAGTCATATAGTCATATAGTCATATAGTCATATAGTCATACAGTCATATAGTCATATAGTCATATAGTCAAGTCATTTATTTATTCATTTATTCATTTAGTTATTTTTCATTCATTTAATCATTCATTGGTCATATCATTTATTGATTTCTTTCATTCATTAATCCGTTTATTTACTCATCATGTGACAAAATGTATTCATTCATTTATTGATTCATCTTTCTTTAATTCATTCATTTTGAGATTTATTGAGAAAATCTTAATCTTAATAAATTTTTGTCTATTAAAAAAATATAGATAATTTTCTGACTTTACAAATCTACATTTTACGATGTTGTTCATTGCATTCTTTGTTTCTGAATTCTGGATGTTATCAATTTATTCATCAAAAAAAAATATTTATTTTAGAACTCACGGCCCCAGGGTAAATCTCAATTCCTAAACACGAATGGTCCTCTCCAAGTCGGAGGTCTATACTTTGGTCCTGAAAGGTAATTAAACGTATATTGCTGTTATTAAGAATACGATTTTGTTCATGTATGATTCGTTTTAGTCCTTATTCAATTTCTCGAGCTCAATTTTCCTTCAACTTTAATTTGATAATAATAAATATAAAATAAATCTCTTATTGTTAAATTTATCGAACAGTCCCTTTAATAATATTGTTGTAAAGACTACGTGAGCTTAGCTACTATTCATGTATGATTCGTTTTTGTCCTTATTCAATTTTCCTACAACTTTGATTTGATAATAATAAATATAAAAAAATCTCTTATTGTTAAATTTATCGAACAGTCTCCTTAACAATATTGTTGTTAAGACTACGTTAGCTTGCTAAGCTGCGGTTTTGTTCATGTATGATTCGTTTTTGTTCTTATTCAATTTTCCTTCAACTTTGATTTGATAGTAATAAACATAAAATAAATCTCGGATTGTTAAATTTATCGAACAGTCCCTTTAATAATATTGTTGTTAAAACTACGTGAGCTTGCTAAGCTGCGGTTTCGTTCATGTATGATTCGTCTCAGCCTTGATTGAATTTTGTCAGGCTCAATTTCCTACAACTTTGAAATATAATAATAAATGATAAAATATGCTTTCAATTTTCTGAAACACTCCCTTTATTAATACTGTTATTAAGAATACGTGAGCTTGCATAGCTACCATTTTGTTCAACCCTCAGTTCTCAGCCCTTATTCAATTTTGTCGAACCCAATTACCCTTCAACTTTGAAATACGATAATAAATCTCGAAATAGATGTGAAAAACCTCGAATTGTTTAAGATATATGTTTTAAATCTTCTCCAACACTCCCTTTAAAAATACTGTTTAGCCCTGATTGAATTTTGTCGGACTCAATTTCCAAAACTTTGAAACATGGAAACAAATCTTAAACATGAAAAAATCTTGGATTGTTTAAAAAAGATGCTTTTAATTTTCTCGGACAGTCCCTTTAATATTATTGTTGTTAAGACTACGTGAGCTTGCAGCTGAGCTGGGGTTGACCCGTGAGGAGCTACCTGGAGGAACCAGCTACGGAGGTTGTATCAGAGAACTCAGGATATCAGAGGGTGGAGCTAGTAGATATGTTAGTCTAGGCACTCCTTCAGACGGAGAAAACTATCAGGTTTACCCATACTACATTTTATATTCTCTTTTGTTGAGATGAAGCATAAGAGGTTTTAAATCACTGGAATCTCAAAATATGAAGACGATCTGTTAATTAAGCATTGTTAAACAACCCGTTTGATAAATGAAGAGCTGCATTCCTGATTCTAAATAGTATCTTCACCTTTATCTTAGCAACAATTATAAGTAATCAATGGTCGCGGTTTTTCTGTTACTTATTTTCTTTCTTTAGTTGCATAAATATTAAATACGCATGTCACTTTTCAATAATTACCTTAATTTAAAAGTTATCAATTTTTTAGCTAGGTATCAACGATATATTCGTAATTTCTAATTAAAGGGTACCTCTGTGAATCGGGCATGCCTAGGCCTAGTTTTAGCTGGAGGGTCTCTTGATATTATCAACAGTCTCTTTAATAATAAATATGTAGGATGGGTGCAGTATGGAGTACAGTCCCTTTAATAATTAATATTAAGGATGGCTGCAGTATGGAGTACAGTCCTTTTAATGATTAATATTTAGGATGGGTTAATAAATATTCAGGATGGGTGCAGTATGGAGTACAGTCCCTTTAATAATAAATATTTAGGATGGGTGCAGTATAGAGTACAGTCCCTTTAATAATAAATATTCAGGATGGGTGCAGTATGGAGTACAGTCCCTTTAATAATTAATATTTAGGATGGGTGCAGTATAGAGTACAGTCTCCCTATAATAATTAATATTTAGGATAGGTGCAGTTTGGAGTACAGTCCCTTTAATAATTAATATTAAGGATGGCTGCAGTATGGAGTACAGTTCCTTTAATAATTAATATTTAGGATGGCTGCAGTATGGAGTACAGTCCCTTTAATAATAAATATTCAGGATGGGTGCAGTATGGAATATGTTCTAGCGGTTGAGGCTACGGGGATGAATTTAAACTTTCTTATTATCATCCTTGTCATCCTGGCCATCATCCTCACAGCTGTTGTTGTACTCGCTATGTACAGGTCAGTAGCTTTAAATCATCATTCTTACAGTCGTTGTTGTACTAGTCATGTACAGGTCAGTAGGTTATTCATCATTCTTATCGTCGTTGTTGTACTCGCCATGTACAGGTCAGTAGGTTAATCATCATGGTGTACTACCCATGTACAAATCAGTAGGTCAATCATCATTATAACAGCCGTTGTTGTACAGGTCAGTAGTTAATCATCATCCTTACAGCGTTGTTGTACTCGCCATGTACAGGTCAGTAGGTTAATCATCATTCTGACCGTCGTTGTTGTACTCGCCATGCACAGGTCAGTAGGCTAAAGAGAGTGCTTAGGAAAATGATGAGAGGGATGAAGGAGGAACCATTGCTTAACTAAAAAATGAAAAAAGTCATTTTTATTATTATAATTACTATGATTATTAGGCGGCGACGTGTTCACTACAATGACAAGGATATTGATTGTGATATTCGTGAGAATATCATCAACTACGAGGATGAAGGAGGTGGTGAGGGAGATCAAACAGGATACGATCTTTCTGTTCTCAGGTAGATTTAGGGGGGGAATTTAGGGGGCATTTTTAGGTCTAGGAGCGGAATTTTTAGGTCTTGGAGGGGAATTTTTAGGTCTAGGGAAGCATTTTAAGTTCTTAGGGAGCAATTTTAGGTCCAGGGCGGAGATTTTTAGGTTTAGAGGAGTAAATTTCAGGTTTAAAGGTAAAACTTTTTCCTGATATTTTTACCGCACCTTCTTGTTAAGTTTCAACTTATATTTATTTTATTTATTTATGATCGTCATTTCTATTACTATTTCTCTGTTCTATACTCTACATTTATTATAGTTGTTCTAAGTTTGATATCTAATTAGGATTACTGTCTCTAATCCAAGGGGGAGGGATTAGAAGGAGGATCATTAAAAGTATTAATAAGCAAAAAGTGGATAAATTGGAAATTTGAAAATATTGGAATATTGTGGACTCCTCGAGCCTCACTTTTTATTTCCCCCCCCCCCTTATTATTATTATCATGTTTGGCGCTGACTCTATAAACAACGTCGATAATGCTAATAGAAAAAATAATTTAGACGAAGTACGTAGAAAATTTAATATTAAACTTGACGTGGGATACCTTAATATAAGTCTATAATTCGTTTAAATTGGCTTAGTACAAGTGCTTTGAGGATGCATATATATGTTAGCCATAGCTGGCCAAACTGTTGGAATAAATTCACTGACATTTTTAAAGAAAAAAAATGTGTAAGATGGCAAATATCTAAGTTTAATATTCTAGGATGATGTCCGGAGAGAATGGGACTCCAATGCTCCACAGTAAGGATAAGATCCCTGCCCCCCAGCACAGGCCTCCAGTGGGTGAAGTGCCTGGTGTTGAAGATTTCCTTGATGAGACTAAGGATAGGATGGATCAGGATCCAGAAGCAACTCCTTATGATGATCTTCGCCATTATGCATATGAAGGAGACGGTAAGAATGGTTAACATTATGTTAGGATATGTTCAAATTTGATAGAATATGATCACATTATGTTAGGATATGACGGGCGGATTTTTGGTAATGTCAATTTGGTAATGACAATTTGGTAATGACAATTTGGTAATGACAATTTGGTAATGACAATTTGGTAATGACAATTTGGTAATGACAATTTGGTAATGACAATTTGGTTAGGTGACAATTTGGTAACGACAATTTTGTAATGACAATTTGGTAAGCTCACAAAAGTGACAATTTGGTAATGACAAATTGGTAACTACAAAAAAGTGACAATTTGGTAATGACAAATTGGTAACGTCATAAAAGTGACAATTTGGTAATGACAATATGGTAACTACAAAAAAGTGACAATTTGGTAATACCATTTTGGTAACTACAAAAAAGTGACAATTTGTTGATAAAAGTTAAATTTAATTTAATTTAATGTTTAATAATTTGCTGTTTCTCACATTATTTAGGGTTAGGTTAGGTTAAGACAATTTCTGGGCCGAGCGCTCCGGCTAGGATGGGCTAGGAGGCCGAGCGCTGCGGCCTATTGAAAGTTTAATAATGTGCTGTTTCTCTAATTATTTTGGGTTAGGTTAGGTTAAGACAATTTCCGGGCCGAGCGCCGCGGCTAGGATGGGCCAGAGGGCCGAGTGCTGCGGCCTATTAAATGTTAAATAATGTGCTGTCTCTCAATATTTTGGGTTAGGTTAGGTTAGGTTAAAACAATTTATGGGCCGAGAGCTGCGGCTAGGGTGGGCTAGGGGGCCGAGCGCTGCGGGCTATTAAATGTTAAGTAATGTGCTGTTTCTCACATTATTTTCGGTTAGGTTAGGTTAAGACAATTTATGGGCCGATCGCTGCGGCTAGGATGGGTTTGGGGCCAAGCACTGCATCCTCTTAAATGTTAAATGTTGATTATAAAAGGGACAGTTTGGTAACTACATATCAAAAGTAACATTAATAACTTCCTAACATTGACATACATAAAGTCCGTTCTTGTTGTAGTATTTAAATCCTTCTGAATCTTGTAACATTTTGCCACCCCTAGAAGGGGTGATGAATAAGTAATTCATGGTCCAAGTCTCCACTTCTTGCAGTATATGACACAAGTGCAGTTTGAAACGTGGTTTTTAGAAAATATTGCGAATTTTACAATTATTTTTGGCGCATTTCGTTTGTGCAGAAATAAAAGATGCCTAGAATCAATTATCTTCAATTGAATATAAAACTAAAAATTAAACAATTTTACATAATGTCACTTTTATTTCGTTTACCAAATTGTCACTTTTATGACGTTACCAAATTTTTATTACCAAATTGTCACTTTTTTGTTTTTACCAATTTGTCATTACCAAATTGTCACTTTTGTGAGCTTACCAAATTGTCACTTTTGTGAGCTTACCAAGTTGTCATTACCAAATTGTCGTTACCAAATTGTCACCTTACCAAATTGTCATTGCCAAATTGTCATTACCAAAAATCCGCCAATCTAGTATATGTTCAAATAATAATAGAATTTGAGCACGTTATGTGACCTTTTAAATATCCATGTTGTTATTTTGACTAAATTTTAGGACGTAAATAAGCAAATATCGTTGATAAAAGAAAAAAGCTGTCATTTTGTAATTTTTTCTAATCTTTCCGATAAATTTTTGCAATCTTTAAAATAAAAATTTGATAAAGTGTGTCTTCTAAAATTTTCGTTTGGTTATTATTAGACTAAAACACCACTCTAGTAGAAAAATTCGTTGACCTGATTCTGAACCATCCTAATTCTTATGTTATGTTTAGGTAACTCTGGAGGTTCTCTCTCTAGTTTGAACTCAGGATCAGACGCTGATGAAGATTTACAGTTCGAATATTTAAACCAATTTGGGCCTAGGTAAATAATACAATATTATTCTTATTCTTATCATTGGTAATTTGGGCCTAGGTAAACAATACAATATTATTCTTATTCTTATCATTGGTAATTCTCATTGTCATTCAACATTCTAATAAACATTGTCATAATTACAATCATTGTTATTATTACTATCATTATCATAATTATCATTTTGATTGTCATTAATGATCGTATTTATTGTTATTTTTTACGGAGGCTGAGACCTAGGTACACCTTATTATTCTTATTGTTGTCATCGTCATTATTTTTGTCATTAGAATTATTTGCATTTTCATTATCATCATTGTTCTTTTTTATTATTATTTTTATCATTATTATCATAGTCATTGTCATTGTCATAATCATAATTGTCATTGTTTAAGGCTCTGTGTCATTGATTTTGGCATTGTTATTATTTCTGATTGAATATGCTCATATTTCTGATTACTATTTCCATATTTTTGATTAAAATTTTCATATTTCTGATTACTATTTCCATATTTCTGATCAATATTCCCATATATCTGATTAATATTCCCATGTTTCTGATTAATATTCCCATATTTCTGATTAATATTCCGATATTTCTGATTAATATTCCCTTATTTCTGATTAATATTCCCTTATTTCTAATTAATATTCCCATATTTCTGATTAATATTCCCTTATTTCTGATTAATATTCTTCCGATATTTCTGATTAATATTCCGATATTTCTGATTAATATTCCGATATTTCTGATTAATATTCCGATATTTCTGATTAATATTCCCATGTTTCTGATCAATATTCCCATATATCTAATTAATATTTCCATATTTCTGATTAATATTCCGATATTTCTGATTAATATTCCCATATTTCTGTTAACTAATCTCATATTTCTAGATTTAAGAAGTTGGCAGATCTCTATGGTAGAGAATCAGACTCAGAAGATTCTCAGGTAAACAATATATTGATTTATTTATTTTTGTATTTATTCATTTATTTATCAGTTGATTAAATGATTGATTTTTATTTTATTTGCCATATAGTTTATTTAATTTAATGAATTTTATTGATCTATTGACAACTCAGTTTATTATTAAATTGATCATTAAATAGTTTATTATTTGATGGAGTGGTTGAGTAATTGATTTATTGCGTTTTTTGTTAGAAGATTAGTGATTAAATACTTTAATTTATTAGTGAAGTTAGTTTATGATTGATTGATTGTGATTGATTGCTTGATTAACTGGGGAATGGATTAATTGATTTATTGTTTGATTAATTTTGTATTATTCAGGATGGTATGGATAACATGGGATATTATCCTTCCTCCGGAGCTAACCTTGACCCCAACCAGCCTCAGGGTCAACCGGGGTCAGAGTCCTGGTGTTAAAGGTCACCCTGGGTCAGATATAAAGTGATTCCTGCCGTCCAACCACGCCGTCAATAAGGACGTTTAGTTCAATGATTCTCGGGAAGAGAATCTGTTTCTAATAAAGAACTGTTTCGAAATGGAAAGTGATAAAATCTACAAATCGTTTTTTTTAATTAGTCTGAGCCGAATTTTTGTGCATTTCCTTTGCTATTATAAAGTACTTCTTAAAACCCGATTTTCGTACGATTTGCAGTGTAATTAAAATTGGGGGGTTATGTACATCCTTTTACATAAATAACATGCTTGTACATAAATCATCTATAATTTCATTATGTACATAATAAACTCGTGTTGATCTCAGATCCCTCCCCCCCCCCCCCGTCTTAAATGTAAATAAACAGAAGAGCTGCAGTACATTATCTCAAATCTACAGAAAAATGTCTAAAATCTCAGATCTACAAATTGTCGTCTCCTCTTAGCTGTTGAATATTAAAGATTGCATTTTGTTATTTTTAGAAAATAAAATATTACGAAATATTATTTTTTGTCTGAAGTTTGGTAAACTTTAAAGAGGAGGGCCGGAAGACTTATTTAAGGTTACCGGTACAAACTTTAATCTGGCATTCGGTACCATAAATTAAAATAACAGATAGATCACTGTATGTCGTCTTTTCAAGATTTACGGGATTTTCCAAAGGAGTCACCTGCAGTCTGCGCAGAACAGGCGCTCAATGTCATGTAATTCAACGCATAACTCCTTTGGGCTTCCGTCTCAGTGTTGTGAACGAAAAACCTCTAAACCTTTATAAGACGACATCCAGTGTCCGCTCTGTTATTTTAATTAATCTACAGGGTGTCCCATGAAACATGACAGTTGGTAAATAGTTATGAAAGTCGTCTTCCATATACTTTATTAGATATTAAAGTTGCAGTTTATTAAGTTAAAAATATCTATTTCCGAAATTTATTTTACTTTAAAGCCAATTTTACCATAGCATGACTCCCATATAATATTTGTATTATTGTCTAATTGGTATCAAAGAACTTAACAAATTATGGAAGAAGACATTCTAAACTATTCACCAACTGTCATGTTTCGTGGGACACTCTGTAGTTGTCTGGCATTCCATAGCAATAGAAGGTTCATTGAAACGACAGTCCCTTTAAAGGGACTTCAGAAACGATTTCAAATGACTCCCATTTTAAGAGTGACATTTTTGATTAGCAGCGGTATCCTGATCCGTACTTCTTCAAGCTTGAGTAACGACGATATTTTGATTAGCAGCGGTATCCTGATCCGTACTTCTTCAAGCTTGAGTAACGACGATATTTTGAACATTAAAGTAAAGGGTTTACTCGGACATGTCACTCTTTCAATGGAGGGGCTCTTGTAATTACAACCTCAATCCCTTTAATAAAACTGTTAAGAAGTTACGCAAAATAAATAAAATGCATTCAGGGTGTCCCACGAAACATGACAGTTGGTAAATAGTTTTGAATGTCGTCTTCCATACACTGTATTAGACAGTAAAGGTTATGTAGTTTCTTTCGTTTAAAAAATCTTTTGCTGAAATATATTTTACTTTAAAATTAATTTTTCGATAACATGACTCCTATATCATATTTTATTATCGTCTTTGGTATTAAACAATTAAACAAATTATGGAAGAAGACATATTGAACTGTTTATGAACTGTCATACTTTGTGGGACACCCTGTATCTGTTGCCAGGATATATTAAATCTCAAAATAAAGAATAGTCATTGCACTTGGGTCACATTCTTTATTAAAGAAAAATGTTGAATAATACAGTCGTCCTCGTATATATCAATACAAAAGAGATTAATTTTGATTTTTACCAATCTTTCAAACAGTATGGATACACATAAACATAAAAACGAAGAGAATCTCTCAATATATTTGTTGACTTGTAAACTTATAGTTACCTAAAAAAAGGTTGTTAGAAAACAGAACTTAAATAGAAATGTTGTCCTCATTGTATTGATATAAACGCCGACCACTGTGCATTACTTTACTCACTCACACCCGTTTAGTCTTCTTCCAGTCCAGATATTTGATATACAGGGTGTCCCAATAAACATGGAAATTGAGAGCAGATTTGAATATCGTCTTTGATAAATAACAAAGTGCATCAACAAAAGATCGAACGTCTAATGAGCTTTCCAAAATGTGGTCTACCTTCTTTGTTTCTTTAAAATTGACGGAGATATTAAACATTTGAACAGTTTTATTGATTTTTAATTAACTGGAATCTGGACAAATTTCTTAATTTTGAAAATCAAAATGTGAAAATGGTAGACCACATAGTAGTAGGTTTCGGTGTTAAATGTTTTAACTACATACTATAAAATCATATTTTCGAAATAATCTCGCTTGGATCTGAAGATGAATTAAATTCTCATGCTTATTGTAATAAAGAAATCTATTTAGAATTATTTTAAATACGAGTTGGGAGAATAAAAAATACTTACTTTCATGAATACAACTTTGATACATTCTTATAAAACATTGATAAAATCTCATAAAAACTTGATAGATTCTAATAACACACATGCGTTAGATTCTTTAGATTGAAAAAACAATATCTTCACATTGTGAGTCCTTTATATGTTTTTTTTAGTTGACATTCCCTTTAAAGTATTTTCTGGCATACAGTCCCTTTAAAGTAATTCAGATTAACTGTCGCCATAATGTGTTACTATTGGACAGTCTCAATGAAGCGTTTTTTGTTGACCCTCCCTAGAAAGTGTTCCTTAAAATATATTTCAAATTAACAGTCTCTTTAAAGTCTTTTTAGTTGACAGTTCCTTAAAAACGTTTAGTCCTTTTAAAGTCTTTTTGTTAACAGTCCCATTAAAGTGTTTCTAGATTACAGTCCCATTAAAACGTTTCTAGATTACAGTCCCTTTAAAACGTTTCTAGATTACAGTCCCTTTAAAACGTTTCTAATTAACAGTTCCTTTTAATCGTATCTAGTTAACAGTCCCTTTAAAACGTTTTTAGTTAACAGTCCTTTTAAAACGTATTAACAGTCCTTTTAAAGCGTATTCCTATTTGGCCGTCTCATTAAAACATGTTTAGTTGAAACTCCCTTCAAAGTGTTTTTTTTTTGTTGACAGTCCCTTTAAGGTTGACAATCTCTTCGTGTTTTTATTTTACAGTCCCTTTAAAATGTTTTTTGTTTACATTCCCTTTAAAACATTTCTAGCATGCAGTCCCTTTAAATGTTTCTAGTTGAACAATTATTGGATATCATTGGATATAACTCAGGTCTGGGGGAAATCTCATTCATTGTTTTTTATTTCATTAATTCTTCACATTTATTTATTTCATTTAGTTTCAGTTGGGAAATATTATCGCAACCATTCACATTATATACACGAAAATACTTGGAAAATATCGAATACACATCCCCTAGGGTTTCCAAATTTTCGTTCAATCTAATTCGCGAAAAATTTTGTTAAAACTTTTTCGCGAAATTCGTTCGAAATTTTCGCGAAATTCGTTCGAAACTTTCGCAAAATTCGTTCGAAATTCGCAAAATTCTTGTGAAATGAAAACATTTCGTTTATTATCGAACGAAAATTGTACAAAAATTTAGCCAAAAGGAAAAATTTTCGCCCAAAATGAGGTCGAAAATACATCGAAATTCGCAAAAATTTTGAACGAAAATGAACGAATTTCGTTTGTACGTTTTAACCCTAGCATCTCCAACACCCCTACCCCCATTTCCTATTTTTCCTTTTTTATGTATTTTTTTTTCGCAAACCATTATGTCCGGATGCACGATCAAAACCCAGGAACCACTCTACCGATTTGCCTCGAATTTGATTGGTGAGCTCGGTAGAACCATATAGGGATATTATTAGCTTGGTTTAGAATATCTAAGTTTAGTGGGTTGGCTTTTATAAAGAAATTTCAGTTTCCGGTCAAAAGCTGTTCCCAAGCTATTAAAAAAAAACAAAGCTGCAAACTTTAGTTTAACGTACACTGCTTAAAAATGTTATTCATTTAGATTTCCTTCCACTCTTCACCCCCCGTTATGTTTAGGTAACTCTGGAGGTTCTCT